ACTAGTGTAGATCTTAAAGTTCCTTTTTTTTTTTTTTTTTTTGGTGGATGCTTGGTGAGGAACTGGGAGAGCTCTGTTGTTCTAGGTTCTAATGGAAAGAAAGGTGGAAAAGGGTTCAAGATTTGCAGGAGGTGGGGCCCACCTTTTTTTTTTTTTCCTTTTTTTTGGTTTGATTCAAGCCCGTACAATAGTTGAGGGATCAAAATGAAGGTGTAACCCAATTTTAAATTATTTTCAAATAACTTAAATCAGTTATCAAACATAAAACACTTCTTTAATTATGTTTTAAATGTATTAATTGCAATAGTTATTGACAAAAGAGCAATTGTAAGGTTGCACTTGTTCCACCACTTGCTCTTTACCACTCTCCCATCTATTTTACCATGTGACTTATGAATTTAAGACATGAATTGAATCTGGCAATGGTAAGTAAATTGCTAAAAGACAATTATTAAATTAACAAACAATAAAAATGTGACAAATTGTGTTTGTTAAAACACAAGAAAATGCAAAAGCTTTTAAATCCTTTGTATTTCTCTCTCTTACGCCATGGCTGCTTGTTCTATCATCTCGATCTGGGTCTAATTTTCCTCTACTATAGTCCAATACTTTTTCTCTTTCTTCCCAAAAATGGGCTAAAGCCCTTATTTTCACCATTTATTTATTTTCTTTTTGCGGTCAACACATTAGAATAATTTTCTTTTTAGTCAATACCTTCTACTTTTTAAAACTTATAAACAACCTACTATTTTAATGGTTTGTCACATGAATATTAATAATTATTAAAAAATATAATACGTGGCACCCAAATAGTTATGTGGGTATTACGTAGCATTATAAATTCAACGTGGAGCATTTTTTAAGAGTGGTACTATAGTAGTAATTTTTTTATATCACCTTTTGATACAACTTTCATATGTTATTAAATGAGTGAATGCATTCAATATCACTAGTTTCACATGAATAAAAAAAAATTAATTATTTAAATGACGTGTCAGATTATATCAAAAGATGGTACAAAAAAATTATTTTAAAAAGTGATACAAAAAAATTGTTCCCAAATCATTTTCCTTTTTTTTTTATGAGGTTAAATTATTTTTACACACATGAACGCCACATGTTCAGTGAGGACCACTTGTTAGCGGGACTTTTCTCACTTCTTTCCACCTCCCAACCAAAAAATTAAAAAAAAAAAAAAAAGGAACTTTAAGATTTGTAGCAATCAACTTCATTTCCGATCTTTAATCATGATTTATTGTTAGATGTTGATGAGTGAAATTAGGATCGTGAATCTGGAGATGGTGATGACATGGCGTTTGTTCTTGCTCTGTTGAGGAATCTTTTCTTGGAGGACCGGGATCCCTCGTCATCATCGTTGTCATCGAAGGTGGACAAGTTGGAAGGAGTGTCACCGAGAACATTTGCGTCTGGATGCCAAAGAGCAAAGTCAAATTGTCCTGAGCAGATGCAGGAAGAGTAAATTGATGGGAATGCTCTCCAAACGATGGCCAAGGTTGCGAGATGTTCTTCGGAGGAGCAATAGCGAGAGTAAGGACTCGTCCATTCTAAATCATTCGCCAAATTCGATGATGAAAAATCAAGAAGAGAAGAAGGTGAAGAAGAAGAGCTAGAGCCAAGCAAAGGTGAATGGAGCCAAGAAATTAACAATGCATGAGTTGTTCTATGTGAGAAACCCTAAATCTCCAAAAAGGGACTAGTGTAGATCTTAAAGTTCCTTTTTTTTTTTCTTTTTTTCGGTTAGGATGTGAGGATAAGCGGGAAAAGTCCTACCAAGAAGTGGTTCCCACTATATATGTGTAAAAATAATGCCTTTTCATAAAAAAAAGCTTCACATTAAATTTATAATGCTAGATAATACCCATATCACTGTTTGGGTGCCACGTATTATATTTTTTAATGGTTATTAACGTTCACACGACAAACTATTAAGATATTGGGTTGTTTATGAGTTCTGAAAAGTAGAAGGTGTTGACTAGGAAGAAAATTATTCTAAAAGGTTGATTGTGAGAAAAAAAAAGTAAATGGAGGGTGCAAATAAAGGTTTTGGCAGTACAAAAATAGGCCTTTCTTGTTTCATCTTTTTCTAATAATTATCACTCTCAAGAGATCTTAAATTAAAAATTCCATCCCTCTAGATTGTTGAAAAATAGAGGGAAATGGAGAGAAAGGTAGAAAGAAAGAAGAAATAATAGAACAAGATTTGAAGATCAAGAAAGAAAGAGAGCAAGGATATGGTAGTCCAATTACCAACGGGATAAGATTTGAAGATAATTCTGTTCACCCATGGAAAGAAATGAACAACAAAGAGTAAATGAAGAATTCAACCAAGGAAAAAATAAGAAGAAGAAGATTAATTATGGTATGTATGACCCACAGTGTTGTAGAAGTTTTGCAATCAGTTTCAATTTTTTAATTTAAAAGTATAGGGTACATGGTGAAAGAAGCGGGGGAGTGGCGTAGCGAGTGACCAAAAGGGTGACTGCCCTTAGCATTCCTTTAAACAAAATCAAATAATTTAGAAAAGATTTGAGAATTATCTCGTTCATTCATCTTTTTTCATATTTATCTTCTTCCATGTTCATCTTCTTCTCCAGTTTATCTTCTTCTTCAATTTATATAGATTTTGCAACAACAATAAAAGTTTCTCTTGTTATCCTAGATTTTTTTAGGAACAAATGATATTTTACAAAGAAAATTTTCTTTCCACTTCCAATTTTCTTAGCAACCAAACAACATACCATATTATCAAATTTGTAAAAATTCTGACAAAAATTTATAAAAATTCATTATCTTCTTCCTCTTTCTTTTTCCTTCTCTCTCCTCCATCATCCTCCTCCAAGTTTGAGAACCCAGATCTAGGTTCTCCTTCAACAGATCAAGGAGGGGGGAAGAGAATGAAGAAGGGAGGAGAGAGAAAGAAGAAGAAAAATAAAGGAGGAGGAGGGAAAATAAGGTTGAAAATCAAAGAACCAATGCTATGTGAAAAAGAGGGTTGCCAAGATCTACACGGTGGAGAACTTGCAAGAGGAGATGTGGTAGGAGATGAGTGGCGAAATGGTGGTGAAGAAAGAGAGAGAAATATGGGTAACAAGGAAAATGAATGGAATTTAGAGAAATTTTAATGTCAGGAATTGCATTCAATAGTTTTGCTATGCATAAGCAAGGGATAAGCCTTTAACGGGAAAATATTGTATTTTAATCTTTAAGCTGTAGGTGTGTAATTTGGGGTGTTGGTTTGGAGGGTAAGTGTATCATTCCATAGATGATAAGTTATAAAAATATTTATTGGGTACTAATTAACAGGATTTTTAATTTTGAAGATCAAATGAAATAAAAAGAAGATCATTGAGAAAGCGAGGACGGAAATGCATGCAGATATTGGTTCCCGTGTTTGTATGATTAGAATTTAATTACAAACTCTCCCTCAGGCCTCAACCAAATCACAAGAAAAATTTTTATATGTATCTTAAAGTTATGTGTATATACTCCACTTAGTGTATAAATAGTAAATGGAAAATGATGTGTGCACATTTGGATCCAACATCCGGTGTGCACACATCATATAAAATAAAAAAAATACCCATCACTCGGTTCAATTTTTTTTTTTTTTATGTGGGGGTACACACCCGGGTGTTGGATCTGGGTGTGCATCAATCATTGTCCATAGTAAATAATAAGCATCCTAATTTTTAAAGTAAAAATGAGCTCGGTTCAATTTTTTTTTTTTTTATGTGGGGGTACACACCCGGGTGTTGGATCTGGGTGTGCATCAATCATTGTCCATAGTAAATAATAGTAGAATACACTTTCTTTGTATTGGTTTGATATGGATTCATCATTCATGCAAACCACAATATATTTAATTAGGCATGTTGGATGCTCTGTTGCCCTCACACAAGATTCAGAGGATGCAAAGTGGACGTAGTATCTAGCTATTTTGGCCACAAGGCCCCTAGCTAGATTTTAAATTTGGACAACAACAAGGGATAAATGCCTTTGGTTTTAATTTTGAGGTGAGCAGTGAAAGAGGTTCGAGAAAGGAGTTTAATTAAGGAGAGGATATAAAAAACATTATATAACAAAACATATATATGTTTGCGAAATTTGGAAATCATGAAATGAAGACATTAAATCAATCTTACTGTGGAAAATGAGGTTGGTAGTGAACCCATTTGCTAGATATCATGCGACCCCCGGTTGATTAATCTTCAAGGGAAAAAGGTGTGAAACATTTGATTTTTCAAAAAGGGTTTGTTTCTCTTGACAATGTTATGAACTTAATAAAGTTACAGTCTTTTAATTGGTTGAGGACTGAGCTTGATGGAGAATTATCTAAGGACCTCTAGCTTAAAAATCCTATGGAAGCATGTCAAAGCAAGGTGGTTGGATTGAGATAGGAATATAAGCTGTGCTGGGATTGAGACTATTATATATTCTAAGATTTTTCATAAGACGATGTAATTAGTTAGAGTACCTCTTATAATTTTTTATTATTATTATTATATATAATACTATTTTATTGGCTGGAAAGAATAAAAAATAAGTGTAAAACATAGCGTTGCAATCCATTGGCCTTTTTTTCCCCTTCCTCCATTGGCTTTATTGAGATTCATTTTTGCATCAATCTTTGACCAAAACCTTTAAATTGTAATGTCTTTGAGATTCAATAATTAAAGGCCTTATTAATAAGAATTTGATCGAATTGACATTTATTAATTTAAAATTTTGTATTTTAGATTAATATTAAAAATTCAAACTTTTATGATATCAAGTAATTAATCTTTTGATGTCAAAAAGAAATGATAATGATTGAAAGCCTTTTGGGTCAAAGAAAATAGACTCTTCTAAGGAGCCAAAATTTGGAGAGGAGCAAGTGCATGCGAAGTATGCATTGGCCTTGCTTAAAGAGGTGTCAAGTCTGCCATTTTATGACCCCACCTTTTCTCAACGAGTTTCATTAGGTGGAGAGAAAAGGTGGGGAAACAAAAAAACTAGCTTTAGCATTTTTATTAATTTTGGAGCTTTGGAAGGAAACAAACAAATCAAGCATGCATGAGAGGAAGTTGGTGATTGTTTGGGTGGAAAGAAACAAACGCTGCTGACAAGAAACTTTTGAGATTAAAATTAAATAACCAACTTTGGTGGGAAAACAGTGTATCAACCATCAAGCAAATTTTTTTTTTTTTTTTAATAATGCAAAAGAATATAACTTAGCTGAGAAGAATAATACCGCTTAAAAAGGAACATAGCAAAGAAGGCATAAACGGTTTCCATGCACTATACATTGTGGGGGAAGTGTTTGTTAATCCGCCGTACTTGTAAAAAAATAAATGAAAAAATATCATAAAATTATTTTTTAAAATAAATTTTTATTAAAAAAATAAAAGATCTTAATTTTTAAAAATACTTTTAAAATAATTTTTACTCATAATATTTTATTTAAATGATGTAATTTTAAATATTTTTTTTAAACAATTTGACATTATTTATAAATATACATGAGAAACGAAGAAATGAGTTTTATGGAACTTAAACACGTCACTAACGAAGGTGAACAGTCTTAATTCAGGATTCAATATCATTGGATCAAAACGGACCATTCGATGTAACTTTAAATATTTATTTAATTTTTTATAAATACAATTGATAAATATTAATTTCATACATGGTGATATACCAATCTCAATAAATATAATTAGTGTAGAGGGTAAAAAATTGGGTCAAAGTAAACAATTTAGATTAAATTTTCAAAAAGCAGTCTTGAAAAGTTGTCGGGGAGTTGAAGAAAGTGATTGGTGTTGTACCTATGATTGGACTAATTGTTTAGATTTAGTAAATAATTGATGGTTTATACTAAATCGTTGATAATTGTTATTTATAATTTAAAGTGAGGGGAGATTTATTTATATATTATATGTATATAAAATTTTAATTATTTTTAAATTTTTAATAGTTAAAATTTATTAAATTTTTATATGAAAAAATAATTATTTTTAATAAATATAAATAAATTTTAATTATTTAAAAAAATAAATAATTAAAATTTTATATAAAGATATTATATAAAATTTATATATACATAAATTTCTATTATTTAAAATATTTAATTCATTTAATCCAAACTAATAATTTATAACTGTTCATGGAATTCCGAAACAAACCCTCCTAAAGCTGTTGCTCTGGTCGTAAATGTGGATCATGCTAAGGATAAATTGTTTTTCTTCTTTTGAAAAATGTCTCCAAAATTTCCAACATACTACACTAATAGGACATACAATTCTATTATTAAATCAAAACAAAAAAAAAAAAGATTCTTTTAAATTTGTTAAAATATATTGTATTAGAATTAGTATTATCTCAAGTCTATTTTATTTGTCACCACACGTATTTTAACGTTCCTAAATTTCATATTAAATTAATTTTAACATTTCAGAAGGATAGGTCCCTGTTATTTATATAAGAGACAGTGTTCTAGCCTGAAGTTGAAGGCTCCCGTTGAATTTAAAAAACGTGAAACTGAATCTGCGGAACTTCTGGAGTGATGGCTGCCGTATTTTAAGCTAGCTCGGGTTTGTGGCCCATTTATGTTAGAGAAAAGGCCAGCAGCTGTTGGGCCATGTGTTCTACTTGGAATTCGAAATCCAGTTTATAAAAGGGACCCTCGTAAGAAAGCCCACTAGTAATAGTAGTAGTATTAAGGTCAGCCCTTCTCTTTGAAAAAATAAAAAATCG